TATATATATAAAAGAAATATCCAGATATTAATATCTGGAAAAGAAACACCAAGATTTAAGAGGCTCCTAGAGCCATGATTTTGTAGAGGCATGCTGTGTATCATTTTGCTAAGCTGGCTTAATATGTGTTTGAGCATTAGAAGCATTCAGCAGGGGCTAGAGGTGGGGTAGATACAGCTTGGTGGGACACTGCCTGCTTAGCATGTGCAAGGTCCTGGGTTCAATCCCTAACATAAAAAAGAACTCATTAGCAAACATCAAAATCAGGTAACTGAAATTACATATACTAAGACACGGACTAAACAAAAACACATTGCATTTGTTATTTTTTGTAGTTGTAATAAAACACCATGACCAAGGCAACTTACAGAAAGAGTTTATTTGGCTTACGGTTCCAGAGGGATGAGTCCAGCATGGGAGGATGGGGCAGCATGGCAGGAGGTGGTGGAGCAGAAAGCTGAGCTCACGTCTCTAAGCATGCACAGGAAGCAAAGCAAGCTGGAAGTGGGCAAAGCTTGCCACTGATGTGCTTCTACCACCACACTTCCTGAAGCTTCCATGACCTCCCCAAACAGCACCACCAACTGGCCACGTGTTCAAAGACTTGAGTCTATGGGGACACTTCTCATTCAAACCACCACACACACCACCCTAATTCTAGAATGAGAGCACTGAAAGTCACATGACACTATCCTAAAAGCCAAACCAAAGGCATTGGAGGGAAGAATACCTAGGACAAAATGGAGAAGCACTTGCCTCATCCAGGAGCAATTTAAGATGAGATCAATGCCTCTCAGTCTCACTTGCCCGCACGCCACAGTAGTGGTTAGCCAATGTGGCTTTATGCTGGGTAACCTGGGAAGCTTCTAATACTCCTGTATGCAGGCAAGCCAAACCAAGTAACATCTCAGGAGAGACATAGACATTGGTATTTTATAAAGCTGTCCACACAATTCCAGTGTGTGGGCAAGGTTTAGAACCCATGCTCTAAAGAAACAAATGTTAAACATTTTAAAGATTCTAAGTGGGGATTCTGACAATAAAAACATTTTGACGGTGGCGCATGCCTGTAGTCCCAGCACTTGGGAGGCAGAGGCAGGAGGATCTCTGTGAATTCAAGGCCAGCCTGGTCTACATAGTGAGTTCCAGGACAGCTGGGGCTACAGGGAGACCCTGCTTCAAAACGACAAAAAAAAAAACAAACAAACAAACAAAACAACATTTTGAAATGTTGTTTCTCTTATAAACATCCTGGAATGGAATCTACAGCATTATCCACATTATCTGTTCAAAACTAATCAAGGAGTAGAAAATGGATTCAGAAGATAAGCTGTAACACATAAAGAATATTGTGGGCTAACACCTCATACCATTCTGAAATCCCATTGTCTTGGCTTCAGAGCAGTGAGATTAACAATACAATATTTACCATTAGGAAAGGATGCAACAGCAGCCGAAGGGACTCCAGCATATATTCCACGAAAACCACCAGCCTTGTTAAATCCTTGGGGACTCTGCAGCCTGGTTTTAATGGTATCCAGAGGAAATAATATCAAGTCAACAGAGGCACCTGCTACCCCGCCAGCCTGTTTTCAAAAAGGGGTGAGGAAAAGAAAAGAAGAAATGAGTTATGTCATGTAGGAGCAGAGACTGGAGGAAAGTAATCTTTTTCTTTTTTGTTTTGTGTTTTCCTCCCATGCTGGGGACCAAACCCAGGGCCATGCACATTTGCACATGCTAGGCAGGCACTCTACCACCAAGCTGTATCTCAGCCCTGAAATAGTTTTTAACTGAATTTCTCATAACTTGAATCCACAAACTTCTTTGCAATACTCAAAATGTGGGAATGACTTTTACCTAACCTTGTAACCAAGAAGTTACCCTTTAACACTATGTTTGTTCATAATGTTAACAAGCTTATTGGCCTGGAGCTCCTCGTGTAACCTAAACATACGGCTTTAATCTTTCATGACCCTTCCTGGCCCTGATCTAGAATAACGTTGTGAGATTATCAAGCACTCTCAGCTCGAAAGGAATGGATTCACACATTTGTGTGGCAAGCAACAGGTGGGATTAGATTGAGAACATGTTTGTGGTTGTCTGTGCTGTTCTAGGTCAGTAGGGGTTAGACGGGTCATAATCCTTTGATAAGACAAGTTCCTCTTTTCCTATGAGAGCAAAGCCTTTGTTTGGGAGCACAGATTCGGGAAAAATCTGAAGGAACAAGTTCTCAGAACAGAGTGGGTCCCACTCTTGGTTTTAATGGATGCTCAGAGTCAGGTTCTTTATTCAGGCACTGCTATAATATGGCTTTGCACCTTGGCACAAAGGACTTCCTACTTATTTTCATAGTGTGGTGGCACATAGCTGTAATCCCAGCACTTGGGAGACAGAGATTGGTGAATCTCTGTGAATTTGAGGCCAGCATGGTCTACACAGAGTTTCAGGCCAGCCAGGGCTACAAAGCAAGACCCTGTCAAAAGGAAGGAAGGAATGAAGGGAGGGACTGAGGAAGAGAGAGGAGAGGGAAGGAGGAAGGGAGGGAGGGGGGAAGGTATTAACTACATGTTCAAATAACTTTTTAAACAAAACTTAATTTCATTCTTATTATATTCACATAGTTCAAAAATGTTTAAAGCTAACCATTAGGAACAGAGAAAACACCTTCAATCCCAACACCTGGGAGGCAGAGGCATGTGGATCTCTGTGATTTTGAGGCCAGCCAGGGATGCATAGTGAGATCCTGTCTCAAAAAACAAAAACAAAAACCAGAAAGGTAAAGAGTACAAAGTCTCCCAATGACGCAAGCAGCCACTTTTACTAGCGGTTTCTAGTTGTGTCCTTTCAAGGACACTGTAGGCATGTTAAGTGTGAATACACACTTAATTTTCTTATTTTGGTTTCTCTGTCTCATTTAATTTTGTGCATGGTGTGTGTACGTGCTCACTGGGCACGTGGAGATCAGAGGAAGACAGCAAACATCTTTCCTTCATCACTTGTCACCTTTATTTTTTTTACACAGAGGCTAGGATGGCTGGCCAGTGAGTTTCAGGGATCCACCTGCCACTACTACCTCACCCCCTCCTTACATATGTTGTTGCCACAAAGCCCAGCTTTTTAGCTGAGTTCTGGGGAACCAAATTTACATCCTCATACTTGCATGGCAAGCTTTACCCACTAAGCGATCTCCCTAGTCCCTTGTTTTGTTTTTTGAGAAAAGGGTTCATGTAGACTAACTAGCCTTGAATTTGCTATGTAGCTGAAGATGACCTTGAACCTCTTACTTCCACCTCTCAAGTGCAAGGGTACACCACCACAGTGGACTCTATTTTCCTCTTATAAAATGAAATGAGAAAGAATAAGTGCCCAGATGTAGTGGCACACACCTGTAATCCTTGCACTCAGGAGCTGAAGGAGGATCTTGAATTCAAGACCAGCCTAGGAAACTCTCTCAGAATTAACTAAATAAATAAAGAAATGGCACACAATATATAGGCTGCTCTATACTGTTTTCCCCTTGACAACTTATCCTAGTGACCTTTCTATATCAGACCTAATATACCCTTTTTAACCAGTAAGTACAGAATCTGCATGACAACATTTTTTTGAGACTTGTATTTTCAAACAGCTAATAATCCTTATTCATCCAGATTTGCATTAAGAAGCACATATCTTAAGGATTCATTTATCATTTTCTATGTTTATTATATCAGATAATTCCTTGATAATTTTAAATTTAGGGACTACTTGTTTTTAAAAAGGAGCTGATGCTCACTCCCCAGGAATCATGTTTCTTTAAAAAGCTGGACATTAAAAACTATACCTCATGACTATGGTGAAATATATGTAAAATGCTTTAAAGCTAATTATATCTTAGTAAAAGGAAAATGAAATTTGGAAAAATATGAATATACACACAGTGTCAAGGAAAGGTCAATACACCATGTCCAAAGGCATCATTCACAGACAAGCAGATGGCAAGCAACAAAGAAAAGCTCACTAGGAAGTTCCTACATAGTAATTTAAGTGATCTGCTAACTTTTTCTATCTTTTTAAACTTGAATCATGTGAATAATATTTGTGTGTATGTGCCTTTAAAATACAGAAATTCACATTTTAAAAGTATGTGTTTCATGACAGAAAAAGAAAGGAAGAAAGGAGGGAGGGAGGGACAGAAAGAGGGAAGAGAGAAAGATAATATTTAAACTTACAGGCAAAGTTCAAATTAAGCTCATCCTTTGAGTTGACAAATCTCTCACTTTGTACAAAGCTTAGTACACAGAGGACACATCTGCTTTACCTGCCCTTTCACCACAAAACCACTGCAAGAGTTAACTGGAAAACTGAAATACTGATGAGAGGCCGAAGAATGTCTACTTTTTAATTAATGGGTACAGGTAAATTTGTAAGAGCTAAAGTATATTAGCATAACTATTAACACTCTAACACCACATGATCCAACTGAACGACATAAAATAACCTCAGACTATGAAGTGGATGACCTAAAAAGTTGTCACCAAAGAGCACAGAGATGTGTCAGGAGAGAGCTGCAAGTGGTATTGGGAATAACCAGGGCAGGTGCAGTGGCTTGCAACTGCTGCAGTCCAGGACTCAAGAGGTAAAGATGGGTGGACCATCAGAGCCCAAGTCACAAGAAGAAAGAACAGCCAGGAACGTGGGACCCTTCCCTAAGAAAGGCAGACCTTCTCCATATTAGGAGAAGCTCACTGCCACTTACCAAGGTTCCAGCTTTTGGCATTCCTGTAGCTTGTTTTAAAGGAATTTTATGCAATACAGCAAGTAAATGTTCTGCCTTCCTCTTCTTAATTTTCTCAGAACTTTGAGAGAACAAAATCTAATAGCAACATCTGATATGCATAGACTCTTTCAAAACATGCTGTATTTACTATAACTTTCTCTTTAATCATCAGATACTGCACAGACAAGCTTGGTACTCGTTGCTAAACTTTAATCAATATGTTACTCTCTTGATCTACGGCTACTGCACATGAATTGATTCTTCAAACTGCTTTTCATTGGCTAACATCTTCTGAGAAGAAAATGACCACATGCAATCTATTCATCTATTAAAACCTGAATCAAGAGTTACTAATTGCTTGTGTGAATTTCAAACTTCTGTATCTGAGAGATCATTTAAATTTGAAAGAATGAAAAACAGAAAATACTCTAAATAAAAAGACCGATCTATTTAGCCACACAATATATTTAACATTTACATAAAACCTTTATGGAATATGTGCAATTTTACATCAGTATGCTTTGTGCATAATTATGTAAGCCAGCATCTAGTGGATTATACGAGATGCTATTAAATTCTTTTGCTGTTTAAAAAGTCTGTTACTGGGGCTGGAGAGATGGCTCAGCAGTTAAGAGCACTAGCTGTTCTTGACGAGAACCTGGGTTCTGTTCCCAGCACCCACATGGCAGCTAACAATTATCCTTAACACCAGTTCTAGGGGATGCTATATCCTCTTCGGGCCTCCTCATGCACTGCACACACCTGGTGTACATATAGGCAGGAAAACACTCCTATACACCCCAAAATAAAAATTATACTGCTTCACTGGGCCTGCACAACCTGCCTGCCTCTATCCTGGGCCAGTCCAACCCCCAAATTCCTGAGTACATCTTCCTGGAGGGATCCAGACCTTAGGAGAAAGCCTGAGAGCATCTGATCCTCATCTGACTTGGGCCTCTGTGGGAACTCCTGAAGGCAAAACCAATCTGGCCACTCCAATATAAAATCAAAAGAGAGAACAGGAAGCTTAGAGGAACCAACCTTTCATGCCCAAAAAGTAAACCACAAAGACACATAAAGTTCACAAAGAAGGAGACCTAAACTTGAAGGCTTGAGTCTCACACAAGAATCAGAAACTACAAAAGAAATTCACATGTCAAATCACAGAGAAAAAATAATAACATGAAAAACCAAAATAACATATTCCCCACCAAATACCAGTAATCCTCTAGAGGAGTACAATGAGAACTCCCTAGAGATAACACAGGACATGGAAC